AAACCTCTCCATGGTCAAAGAACCCCAAGCCCCTCTGATGGCACCAACCTTTGAGCCACATGTTAACTGCTCTAGTTTTCCTATTCCTTTCCATGTTCTCTCCTGACACTAATGGGATCGAGGAGAACACTACCTGCGCTCCTGATCCTTCAACCATTTTCCCTAGTGCCCTGAAGTCCCTTTTGATCGATTTGGGGCTTCTCTCTGGCATCTCATTGCTGCCTGCCTGTACAATCAATAGTGGAAAGTAGTCCGAGGGCCGTATCAGACCAGGGAGTCTCCTGGCAATGTCCCTGATCCGGGCCCCAGGGAGGCCGCAGACTTCCCTATGGGATGGGTCTGGGCGGTATATCAGGCCCTCCGTTCCCTTCAGAAGGGAATCACCCAGAACAATTACCCTTCTTTTTTTCTTTGTACAGTCAGTCTTGATAGGTAGGGGTGACCTTCTCTCCCTAGCCATCTAGGGATCTCCCTAGATGGACACTAATTTAAGATCTATTTGGTGCCCAGTCCATAATTTTTTTATCATGTTCTTTACTGATATTCTAAAGAGCTAATTCATGATCAGAATGTTAGGACATACTAGATTAAACAGTATACAGAAATCAAAGAGTGTCACATCTTTGACAGATTTTTCTATGAAGCAAACAATCTTCTCAAGGTATGAAATTAGATTTGTTTGACAAGACCTATTTTTAATAAAGCCATGTGGAGTGGCATTAACTTTATTCCTGTCTGTTAATCTTTAATTAATCAAATCTCAAATTGATGTTTCCATTTTCACTTTGAATATGCAATTTCTTTTGTTAGCTGTGTTTTGGAAAACTTTTCTTTCTTTTTTTTTACTATGTATAAAGCATACTTTTATCTTCTCTCCACTCTCTCCTCCATTTTAGGAGTTACAGTGCTTGAAGGGCCTATTTATGCAGTGGGAGGACATGATGGTTGGAGTTATTTGAATACAGTTGAGAGATGGGACCCTCAAAGTCAGCAGTGGACATTTGTGGCAAGTATGTCAATTGCCAGAAGCACTGTTGGAGTAGCAGCATTAAATGGCAAGTGAGTAGGGTATTCTTATATGGTTGAAACACATTTCTTACAGGGGTGAATAACTGTGACACACAGTACTAAATGCATTTTAGCATGTTTTAATGGAGGATGTATTTTAAAATAAATGTAGACACAGTTGTGCACACCCTCCTATATATCATAGTTCTTACATTTATTTGAACTAAGTAATTTATACATATATATTCTATATTATTTTTGTTTATTTTTTGTATCAAATGCTTAAGAATATAGACCTGAAATTTCAGTGTATATAGCGTAAAAGAATTCAGGACAAATTGTCAGTGAACCGATTTTTTTATGTTGTATATGTCAGTTCTAGTTAATCAACCGAGTTTATCCATCTAATATAGTCATGTAGATTTGTTGTATCTACATTTCATACCTTGCTTCAGCCATTGACCCATGAAACCTTCTTTGTCTGAAGGCAACTACATTCACACAGGAAGTAAACCAGAAATTTGATTCTTGTCAAACCAGTCCAACTGCATCAAACCTGTAATTCTAATTGTATTCAGATACTAAGCTTTTCTTTTATAACTTTCACTTCTTAAAATTTTAGTGTGGCAATTGTTAAAATTCATTTTACAGTAATGTGATACTATATATTACTTATTGCTTATCACTTTTAAAGTAGTTGCTTTTATCTGTGTGGCTAAAAAGAATATGGTGTGAACTGTAATAATTTAGAGGTGAGGGAGGAATTCATGAGATCTAACTTCAGATATTTTTGTATGACATCTACAACTGACCCAATCATTCTAAACTCACCTTATGGTGAATGGAAGAATTATATACTTTTAGGATATTGTTTGTCTTACTTATTTTAGACATTTATATTAGGACAGCAAGAATTGTGCTCTGTAAGTGCCCATTTTTCTCTACTAACTATACAGGAAACATGAAGACTCCGTCTTGCATTCTGACTTGTATGGTTTTGATATCTTAAATGGGGAAGATGAATCCCCCTGTAGACAACTGAACATAAATAAAGGGCAGTCAGTAGAGAATCCCTTGGGAACAGTGGGACCAATAGAGTAAGGCAAATTTCTTCATGGTAGACTATGCTATTGCATAATTCAACAATGCACTAAATTTTGTCCACCCATTTCTTTCAGTTGCAAATCACTCAGTTTTGATTATACAGTTGAATAAACTCTCAAAAATCCTTTACATTATTTTGTGCTTATCACAGCTAAGATACATGCTTGAGATAAGTAGGCCCAATTGATTTCTGGGATTGTCGTGCTCTTTCCACTGACTGTAAGAGTCACTGAATATAGAACAAGAAGCTTAATTTAGCCCACAAACTACTATGTTCCAAGATGTATAAGAGATTATATATTTTTCTGTATCAGCAGCAGGAGGTCTGACAGACTACCCATAAGCCCATCATTATGACAATATGCATATATATATATATTAAATTAAATCTCAAATTAATTAAAAATACAAGGTTTAAAAATATTACCTGGTTTTGAGTTTGTCATATTACAGTTGTGTCCTATTTGTAGAGTAACTCTGGATTAAATAGGCTTTATTGGATGTATTCATTATTAATATTATATTATTTAATTCATGGTACCATATACTTAGATGATCTACTTCTTGTCCATGGCATTAAAAGTTAATCTTATGTTGTGAAATCATCTGCAAACTACTGAAGCTTGGTCATCATTGCTTTCTATTACTAAGTCACAGTGGCATTGAAATGTTCCAGAGGAGATCAAATGGACAAAGCTGCTTTCATAACCATGCAGCTGCTTGCTCACTCCCCCCACAATGGGATGGGGGAGAGAATCAGAAGGGTAAAAGTGAGAAAACTCATGGGTTGGGATAAAGACAGTTTAATAGGGAAAGCAAAAGCCACGCACGCAAGCAAAGCAAAGCAAGGCATTCAATCACCACTTCTCATGGTTAAGCAGGTGTTCAGCCATCCTCAGGAAAGCAGGGTTCCATCACGCATAACGGTTACTTGGGAAGACAAATGCCATCACTTCGAACGTCCCTCTCCTTCTTTCTTCTTCCCCCAGCTTATATACTGAGCATGACATCATGTGGTATGGAATAGCCCTTTGGTCAGTTTGGGTCAGCTGTCCCAGCTGTGTCCCCTCCCAGCTTCTTGTGCACCTGGCAGAACTGAGAGCTGAGAAGTCCTTGGGTAGACTAAGCACTACCCAGCAACAACCAAAACGTCAGGGTGTTATCAACATTCTTCTAATACTAAATCCAAAACACATCACTCTACCAGCTACTAGGAAGAAAATTAACTCTGTCCCAGCTGAAACCAGGACATCCTTTTCTTAAGCAGCTTCCTAAACCTAAGGTGCAGCTAGAACAAATAATAAAAGTGATAGGTGGCTTTCTAGATAAAAGACACACAGCGGATTTATTCTACCAGCATTTTAATAAAGCAGCTTAGCTGGTATTACACACAAAATAATTAGTTAAGATGGAAAAAAAGGTGAATAGTACTGGGATTTTAAGAAGAAAAGAACTGTATGTGACAACTAGGACATCATAAAGTTACTGTTTGAATTCTTTAAAGATCAGCTTTCGGATAAAAGAGTGTAACAGCAGGAGCAGGAATATGCTAGTTAAACTATCAGACCATTCAAAGTGATACCAAAGGAAACATTATTATATGGGACATGTTGGACTATTCTAGAGAAGTGTTTGGATGACCCTAAGAAGCAACACAAATGTGCTATTTATTAGTAATATACGAATGAGCAAGTCTTGTGTTTGAAGAAAACTAATGGTAGGAAGTGGCAGAAGAGGGAAGAAAGCTTTATACCTTGTTAGTACAGAAAAACTTATTGAAGAAATCTGTGAAAAAAGGAAATGCAACTAAAGAATACATGAAGTTTTATTCATTATGGAAATATTTATGCTATTTGGATTGCTGTGTTCAATTCTGTTCATGCACATTGAAGAAAGATTAACTGAAAGTACAAAGTTTGAATAGGGCGTACCATGATTATCATGAATGCTTGCCATAACAAAGAAAAGCAATGGAAGTGTTACAGTTGGCAAAGGAACAGATGGATACAAATAAACCAGCTTGCACTGGAAACGGACAACAATAGAGGGAACAGCTGTGTAAGGTGTGATCAGGTAGACTATCTACTTCGCCTGGTGGCAGAGCTAAGAGAGGAAGTAGATAGGCTAAGGAGCATCAGGGATTCTGAGCAAGAGATAGACTGCTGGAACCACACTCTGGCCTCTCAGAAACCTGAACAGGGACAGCCACAGAAAAAGCCTGTGATCAAAAGGATCCAGTATCCTCCCCCCACCAGGATGTAGGCAGGGTCCTAAAGAGAAGCAGCAAGTGGAAACAAGTCCACAATCAGGGAACCAAGCAAACCCTTTCCTTGCCCACCACACCTCTCCAGGTGCCTCTGCACAATAGGTATGAGGGTCTAGATGTGGAGGACCAGTCAGTGGATGAGGTACGTGTCAGTCCATCTATACCAGAGGAGTCACCAAGACCAGAAGCACCTACTCCCCATATTACTACCACCTCCACAGGAATATTAGGTGGATCATAGTTGTAGGATACTCCCTTCTGAGGGGAAGAGAGGGTACAATATCCTGGGCTGACCCTCCTCATAGGGAAGTCTGCTGCCTCCCAGGAGTGTGGGTTAGAGATATCGCTAGGAAACTTTCTAGCCTGGTATGGCCCTCAGACTACTAACTATTACTGCTCTTCCACATGGGTGGTGACGAAGTTGCACTATGTAGCCCAAGAGTGATTAAAAGAGACTTCAGGGCCTTGGGATGGTTAGTGAGGGAATCCTGGGGTACAGGTAATTTTTTCCTCTCTCCTTCCAGTTATGGGCAGTAGCATTGGAAGGAACAGGCAGACACAATGTATTAATATATGGTTCCATGGCTGGTGTTGCCATTACAACTTTGGGTTTTTTGACAATGGGACAGCCTATACAGCACCAGGATTGCTGGCATCAAATGGGAGCCACCTTACTATTTCAAGATTGTGTCTTCATTTCTTCTTTTTTAAAATCAAGAAAAAAAAAATCTAGTTGACAGTTTCAATCCAATAAATACTAATCTTTTCAGTATCTTACAATGTGGTTGTCTCCAAGATGATACTAGCTATTTATTAGCTTTCTATTAAGAATTCTCTAATATATGAAGCATGCATTCTGTAAGAACACTAAACCTTTACACTAACTTTTTTCATGTAATTTAATTTCAGAACAAATTTTATTCTAATGGGGAAACTGTAAGTAAAAAGGATATTAAGTTTACACACTTTCCTCTGGAATATATACCTAAAAGAGACTCTCTGTATCATACACATGTATGTTATTCCAAATAATTGTGTGATGCAACCATAACTGAAAATTTTCTAGATTTTCCTGTTATATGGCCATAAAAATTACATCACAAAAAATATTCCTGAATTTTTACTTGTACATTGGAAATTATCAGCATTCATTTTATGTAATGATAACTTTCATGACAAAAAGACTGGTCCTTTACTTTCATTCTCTTTAACAGATATCAATAAATCTGTGCTACAAAAAGAAAAAAATACTCAACTGTTAATATGATCTGCAGATTGACTTTAAATGGTAGAACATCACAGCAATACACTGAATTAAGCATCAAATATAATGACTTTGGCATGCACTGGGAAGCAGTTCATTCATACGGTGACATCTTGCAGAACCAAGGAAAAAGGAGTTCTGCCCTTTATTGATTGCCACATCCTCAAAGATGTGTTTTAGTGAACATGATATTTCCACCTGCTGCTGCTGTTTATATCAAATATCATACACTGTTATTGATCTATGATAGATGATGAAAAGCAAGGAATTGTCTAATCCTAACTTTTAAAAATAGAACTATTTTAAGTGCCTTTTCAAAAAATCTTTTATTTTTATTTGAGAAATAAAAAAAAAAAAGCATTTGTTTTCTATGAAGAAAAGTAAAATAACAGTGAGAAATGCTGCAGGAGAATTTTA